TGTATACCAGACCAGTGAAACTAAATGGGGTAGGGACCACGGCACTGGTTGATTCGGGGAGTGCTATCACGCTTATCTCAGGGAAGCTCGTGAAGCGCAGTCAGCTGCTGCCGGCTAAATGTACGGGGATAACGTGTCCATGGGACAGTTAGTTACTACCCCACCATCCCAGTAAAAATCAAGATCCAAAGGAACACTACTGAGGTAGCAGCAGGTGTAGTCCCTAAACTCCCAAACCCGGTGCTCCTAGGGAGGGACTTCCCAGGGTTTGGAAACTTACTCCCATTAGGGGGATTGGAGAAAGATGGGGACCCTAAAATTGCTGAGGCATCCACAGCAGACTGTCAACCCCCAATCTTCTGTGAAATATTCCCAGATTTGTTCTCCACTCCCAGACAGGGTAGAAAGACAAAAAGGGAAAGAAGGGCAGCTAAGGCCTTGGGAACCCGAATACTGACCCAAAGCCAGAGGGTTGCTCTTGTAGGTAGGCGGACCTGCAGAGCTGAAAAGGAGGCCACGCAGGAGGGAGAAGCACCTGAGTCTGACCCCCACCCTAATGCTTCTGAACCAGTAGAGGCAACAGAGACTGGGCCCCTAGATCTTGGGCAGGTTAGCCCCGGGAGAGGAAATTTTGGACGGGACCAGGCAGAAGACCCAAGGTATGACAACATTAGGAAGGAGGTGACTGAACTAGATGGGGTCCCCGTGGAAGGGAAAACCCAGGGACCAGGACCCTACTTCATAATGAAGAAGGATCTCTTATATCGGGTTGCACCAGTACAGGGGCAGAAGGTACAGCAGATCCTAGTACCTCAAAAACACCAGAACGCTGTATTAAGTCTTGCTCATAGTCATCTTTTTGGGGGGCATTTGGGGGTAGAGAAGACCCTGGCACGAGTCCTACGACGGTTTTTCTGGCCCGGAGTACATGAAGAAGTGCGGAGGTACTGTGCCTCCTGCCCAGAGTATCAGCTGCACAGTCCCCGTCCCCACTTGAGGGCACCTTTAGTACCCCTTCCCATCATAGAGGTCCCCTTCGAGCGAATAGCCATGGACCTACTGGGACCCCTGGAGAAGACGGCTCGGGGCCACCAATATATACTTGTTGTTTTGGACTATGCTACTCGCTACCCAGAAGCTGTCCCCCTGCGGAACACGGCCTCTAAAACTATAGCCAAAGAGCTGGTGGGGATCTTTGCCCGAATAGGGCTACCGAAGGAGATATTAACCGATCAAGGAACCCCATTTATGTCGAAGCTAATGAAGGACCTCTGTACGCTGCTCCATATACATACCCTGAGAACTTCAGTCTACCATCCGCAGACTGATGGGTTGATCGAAAGGTTTAAACGAACCCTCAAGGCTATGATAAGGAAGGTGGTAAGTCGGGACGGGAAGGATTGGGACACCCTACTACCCTACCTTATGTTTGGTATCCGGGAGGTACCTCAGTCTTCAACTGGGTTTTCCCCCTTTGAGTTATTATACGGGCGTCACCACCGTGACATACTAGATATCGCCAAAGAGATCTGGGAAGAGGAACCCAATGAGGGGAGAAATATAATAGAGCATGTAATGCAGATGCAAGACCGGATAGCCTGGGTTACCCCTATTGTACGGGAACATTTGAAGAAGGCACAGGAGGCCCAGCGAACCCATTACAATCGCCAGGCAAAAGTGTGACAGTTCCATCCAGGGGATCGGCTTATGGTGTTGGTACCCACGGCAGAAAGCAAGCTTCTGGCCCAATGGCAGGGGCCTATGAGGTGGTTGAACCCGTGGGGGAAATAACCTACAAGGTGCGGCAGCCAGGACGCAGAAAACAAGAACAGATTTATCACATTAACCTTCTGAAACCCTGGCATGTACAATGGTCCAAAAAGACCTAACCCAGGAAAACAAGCCTTCCAAACAGGTGAGAGTGTCTCCTGATTTAACACCAGACCAGAAGAATGAGGTGTCTGAGATGATCTTCCGGAACCAAGATATGTTCTCGACAAAACCGGGTCGAACAACCGAGACATATCACCACATTGTCACGAACCCTGGGGACAGAGTAACAATGAGGCCCTATCGGATGCCAGCGGCAAAAAGGGAGGAAATAAAAGCAGAAGTAAAAAAAAATGCTGGAGTTGGGGATCATCAAAGAATCCCACAGTCAGTGGTCCAGCCCAATGGTGCTGGTGCCCAAACCTGATGGCACCACAAGATTGTGCAACGACTTCCAGCGATTAAACGAAGTATCCCAGTTCAACGTGTACCCCATACCTCGCATAGATGAGCTAGTGGACCGTCTGGGTAATGCCCGGTACTTGACTACCCTAGACTTGACAAAGGGGTACTGGCAGATTCCCCTTGCAGAAGACGCAAAGGAAAAGACTGCGTTCTCTACACCAGGGGATCTACACTGTCCTCCCTTTTGGACTACATGGGGCCCCAGCTACCTTCCAGCGCCTCATGGACAAGCTATTACGCCCGCATAACAGTTATGCTGCTGCTGCCTACTTGGACGATGTGGTCATTCATACCCCAGACTGGGAAACCCACCTGGAGAAGGTGGAGGCAGTCCTCGATACCTTCAGGCGAGCTGGCCTTACAGCAAACCCTGCCAAGTGCGCTGTAGGGTTTACGGAGGCCAAATATCTTGGCTACATTGTGGGAAAAGGTCTGGTAAAACCCCAAGTGAACAAGTTAGAGGCCATCCAAAATTGGCCCCGACCAAGTCGCAAGAAACAAGTCCAGGCGTTCCTAGGTGTGGTGGGGTATTACCGACGATTTAACCCCCACTTTGCACAAGGGCAAGCTCCCTGACAGACCTAGTGAAAGCCTGTGGTCCTGATCTGGTGAGATGGTCTGACGCAGCAGAGGAAGCATTCACAGACCTACGGACTGCCCTCTGCAGTAACCCCGTACAGATTGCCCCTGATTTCACCAAGGAGTTTATCCTGCAGATGGATGCATCGGAAGTAGGGTTGGGGGCCGTTCTATCACAGATGGTCGGGGAGGAGGAACACCCAATTCTATACCTCAGTCGGAAACTCCTTCCAAGGGAACAAAAATATGCAGTGGTGGAGAGAGAATGCCTCGCTGTAAAATGGGCCATGGAAACATTGTGCTACTACCTGCTCGGGTGCAGATTTGTCCTCGTGACTGACCATGCCCCTCTTCAATGGATGCAGCGAAACAAGGAGAAGAACACAAGGGTGACCAGATGGTTCTTATCCCTCCAACTTTTCCAGTTCCGTGTGCAACACAGAGCAGGGAGCCGTCATGGCAACGCCGATGGCTTGTCATGTGGGCACTGTCTGGCATCCCAAGCTGCCCAACCCCTTGGCGTTGAGCAGGGGGGAGGGATATGTGACAGACCCAGACCAGTGGGATACAGGAGTCTGGTAGAGGGCAAATATACTGGTCACTGGATGAGTAGTTTTCTGTTCCCTGAGTGACCAGAGCAGGGGCTGCACTAGAGTAATCAGGAACCTGCTAGAACCAGTTAAGGCAGGCAGGCTAATTAGAACACCTGGAGCCAATTAAGAAGAAGCTGCTAGAATCAATTAAGGCAGGCTAATCAGGGCACCTGGGTTTTAAAAGGAGCTCACTTCAGTTTGTGGTGAGAATAAGGAAGGTGTTTGGAGGAGGCCATGGGGAAGTAGCCCAGGGAGTTGTAGCTGTCATGCAGCTGTTACAGGAGGCACTATAGACCGCTGCAGTCCACAGGGCCCTGAGCTGGAACCCAGAGTAGAGGGCGGGCCTGGGTTCCCCCCAAACCTCCCAATTGACCTGGACTGTGGGTTCTCACAGAGGGGAAGGTCTCTGGGCTGTTCCCCAACCCACATGGTGAATCTCTGAGGCAAGAAAATCCACCAATAAGCGCAGGACCCACCAAGATGGAGGAGGAACTTTGTCACAGTTGATAAAATAGCCCTGATTCAGTGAAGCACTTAAGCATGAGCTTAATTTTAAGTTTATTAGTAGCCCTTTAATGTTAAACTCATGCTTAAATACTTTGCTGAATCAGGCCTGAGTGAGGAAGTTTTGAATAAAATACACGATGGTCACCAGGGCAGAAAACATGCCCAAATGACAGTGTGTTAGCCAGGTATAAGTAGACAGCCAGAAAAAGGATACTACCATGCATGCTGTCAGGTTAATAAACCAATACAAAAGAAGGGCACTTTTCCATGTCACATCTTGAAAGTGTAAGTTTATTGATCTGTGTGAGCTAGACAGTCGCAAGTACATAGCTGCTATAGCCATTAGTCAGAATGTTTACAAATGTGCATATGCCGCAAAAATGAGCATCATTGGAAAGTTAAAGAATATATTTGCTCATTGGGGAATTCCAGAGAAACTAGTTACAGACAATGGTCTACAATTTACAGATACAAATTTCATGAAAAAAAACGTTCACTTCCTATTACTATTAGCTCTCATTATCCTTAAGAGAATGGAGAAGCTGAAAGAGTTAGATAGCTAAAGAAATTTTGTAGAAAAAGGCATTCTTAGCTTAATTAATTTATAGAGCAATGCTGAATGCAATGACTAAATTCAATTCAGCTCTATTGACGCTCAATAGACAAATAAAAACTATAGATAGTTGAAGAATTTGCATCCTACATGGTGAAAGTTTAAAACGTGCTGATAAGAGAACAATAAAAAAATAGAAAAGTCATCTTGACAAGCACAATTCCATGAGAACTTTTCCAAAACTTCAACCAGGAGATGCAGTAAAAGTCAAATTGGATGGAGAAGAAGGTTGGGCAACTTCTGCAGAGGTGAAAGAGAAGGAAGTTTCACCAAGATCTTATTTGGTACTAACAAAGAGTATGTTATGCAGCGAGTCCATGTTGCTCTGTGCCAGAGGTCGGCAACGTTTGGCACGCGGCTTGCCAGGGTAAGCGGCGCGGGCGAGCGATGTGCTGGCCGTGGCTTCCCGCCGCCTGTGTTGGCCCGGGACGGCGAACCGTGGCCAGTGGGGGCCGCGATCGGCCGAACCTGCCGCGTCAGCAGGTAAATAAAACTGGCCCGGCCCGCCAAGGTGCTTACCCCGGCAAGCCGCGTGCCAAACGTTGCCGACCCCTGCTCTCTGCTGTATAGAATGCCAGATAGAGCACCATCCCAGGTAAACAAAGCCGGAACCTGAGTTGCCTAGAAGATTGTCCTTTCATACCTGTAATATATATTATTATTTAATAAATGATTCCCTTCAAGAACTTTGATTCAATGATTCCATATAGCATGACAATTATTTGAAAGTTCACAGAGAAATTTTACTATTGCTCACACTGTGTTCTTGCACTTGAAAATTAGCTTGGAAATATTCTAAAAGGTTGTAATTAGAATTTATCTAGAAACGGTATGTTAAAAATTGAAACATTAGGACACAAGGGTTAGATATCTCTGCTAATATTAATAAGTATTACAATTTCATATACATTATGGCTTTTCAGTAATTTGTCCTCATTTAATTGAGAGAAAATTCAGTTTTCATTTACATTATTAGTTTATTAACTAGAAATTATGAGATGCTGTATACAATTAACAACTGTTTGTGTTATATTCCATCAATATTAACAAAAGATGACTTTGCACATAGGACTGGGAGATGTTCTATTCCTATAAAATTATTAAAGAACATATTACTAGTCAACAACTAAAAATCAGCTTCATTTTATTTATCAGAATATTTTACTGAAATAATCAAACATCTTTAATCAAATGCACTTTTATTTAAAGCAGAGTATAGATAGCATGTAATATGCTTAATTATTATAGGACTTGACCTGCAATCCTTACTCACATCAGTAGACCACAAGTCCTAATTCCTACAAAAACCTCCCTTACTGTTTAATTTTTTTTCATATTTTAACATCTTTATATATTTCTCCATCAGTTGATTGTGTCTGTTCATCTCTTTGTAGAATCACTTTAATATCCTACACACAAAAAATTTGAAAACAAAGTTAAAAGGACGTCAGGTAACTTTTAGGTCACAATTAAAACTGTCATAAATTAGTAAGTAACAATCTCTGCCTTTCCAGAAGCTGACTATCCTATTAATGAGCAGGAGGTGTAGGTGTATAACTTGCATTTTAATTGGGATTTATTCATGTAAATAACTCTTTCCATCAAATAAGATACTCAACATATTCTATTTAAGAAAAAATTGGCATTGTCACTGGGCTAAGGCTCAATAGAATATTTTGTAAAGAAAATTACATCTTTTCATTTCATTTGTATAATGCCAATATCACAGCTCCATACTACTGTAACATGATATTATCAGACCAAACAATTACAGGTTAACATGTCATGAATTAAAAAAAATAATTGTCTACTATAGACATTAAATATTTGTATTACAGAATAAACCAATCACTTCTTTTCCACTATGGAATTGTTATATGTATTGTTCCAAATAAATCAGTATATGGTGTGGTGCTTCAAGCATGTGATGGGGATGTCAAGGTGTATTGCTCTTAATTTATGTCAAGTTTGGATTTTAAGTAACCAAATCCACGAAATTCAGTGTTAAGGCTTAAATCTATCTTCTTATCTAGGCATTGGAGGGTTCTTGAATCAGTGTGTGTTTTGTACTACAAATGCTACAATACCTAGAGAAGAGCTTAGGAAATGGTGGCTGACTCAGAACCTTTCCTTTTGCTGGTTCAATTTTGACAGTTAATCTTTGTGAAAAGATTCTTTCTTTCCTATTCTATGTAATGTGTAACTCAAATAATAAAAGAAAGTCCCATGTTGATGCCTCTGATATATCTGTCTCACTACATATTTGATACAATGGTATGAATTTTCACCATAGATTTTTTATCTATCTGCCTAACTTCGGGTTTCCTAGCGTACTCTCCACGGCAGTATCTAGGTGCTTCCCTAGTAAGTTAGGTCTGCATGGTGGCTTCGTGAATCTTTTCCTCTTCTTTTCCAAGAGAGGAGGCTCTACTTGGCATATGAACAAATGTGGCTTTTGTTGCTGTTTTTGTTTTTACACTCCTCTCTCTCTCTCTCTTCCTGTCCCTCCCCCATTAACTAGACTATAAACCAGTGGTTCTCAAACTTTTGTACTGGTGACCCCCTTCACATAGCAAGCCTCTGAGTGCAACCCCCCTTATAAATTAAAAACCCCTTTTTTGTATATTTAACACCATTATAAATGCTGGAGGCAAAGCGGGGTTTGGGGTAGAGGCTGGCAGCTTGGAGGTGAAGATAAGGAAAATGAGAAACTGCAGCAACTTTTGGAGTAATATGTGTCTACATAAAGGCAGCATGCATTTACATTTTTGTGCAGTTTTTGGTATTTATAATACATTAATTTATTAGTTTCCAGCTTTTTGTGTCAGGTGATTTCACACAAACTACTTCCCCCCCCCACAGATTTTGGTAATACTACCAATTGTGTAAAGAAGATGAACAATTAAATTAAAGACATAGTGTACTGAGTTTTCAGTAAAAACATGAACAGCAATCTATTAGCTTTCTATTGTTTGATATTAAAACATTGATGATTACAATTTTACCTTAAGCAGAAAACATATGTGAAAAATATATTTTCCAGGCTAAATCCACAGGTTTTATAAAATAAACCAGATTATGTTCAAATACTTCTTTCTCAGCTAATATATTTTGTCCAGCTTTTCTCTTTTTTGCAATCACAAAATTACCCATAATTCTTGATAGTCCACCAGACAAACACCAGTAAAGCATTTCACTGGCCTTTTGTTTTACAAGTTAGTGATAACGCTTTAGGATTAGCTGGAAGAGTGGTTTAGTTTAAAACAGTCCCTTTTCAGCACAATGAGTCAGAAACAGACATTTCAGTTCCGGTTATACAGAAATAAAATGTTAGCAAATGGAAGCGTCAGCAAGTTGATTATCAGTACTTATCACTACTACATGAGGTAAATGCTGATACCAGTTAATTGTAATGCTTCTGACACTCTAGAATGTGTGTTTTATTACTAAAGTTTTTACTTTAAAATATATAGTTGTGAAAAATCAGTAAAACTGCAAGAAGTTACTATTTATTATCATGGAAAAAGTGCAGAGGGGCACCTCTGACATGCTGTGTGGGCAGGAAGCAGAAATTCTACATACAAGATTAAAATATATTTGTATAGTACAATATTACTTTAAAAATGAGCAAGGATTCATATGATCCATGATCTGATGCAGTGAGGAAAATGACAGCATAGCATTTAAGAAAACGGTACATGTACAAAGGAAACCTTCTTCTGGACAGCTTCAGTGTATGTAACCAACAATACAAAAGAAACCAAAGCTCTCAATGACCTCAAATGCACTGCACAGGTAACTCTTTCTGCTTCTGATCAATAGCTCCAATAGACAGAAATATGCTTTTCTTCAGTTTCGTGCAAGAATAATGTCTCGTTATCTGAACCAGTGTTTATCATTATTATTAGTAACTGAAGAAAAATGTTATTTTTTCACGTATGTTTACATTTCTTATGTCCTCCTTGACGGAACACATGATGGGCGTGAGACCACACATTGATCTCACTTTTCGTCCCTTTTAGGAGTTGAGTTAAATTTTCCACCCCTTGTGCATCAATACACCACACCACATAGAAAATGTTTCTCAAGTTTCAGAAGTATCATGAGCACGGGCTAAGAGTGATTCATCAAGGCTCCTCCTGCCCCAAGTATTAAATACCTTATCTACCGTGCACGGGGGGTCCCAGCTTGCAGTCCTTACTAAGTAGGAACTACAGGAATTGCCCTTATGAGTTGAAGCAGGGTATTTCTTCATTGTCAAATGTTATATCAAGTGTTGAATCCATATTAAGACAAACGTATGTTTAAAAAACTGCTGCTAATGTAAATTTTACAAATGTTACATGAAATGGTCTATGTAAACTCTTTGGAGCAGGGACTAACATTCCCTGTATGTTAGTACAATGCCTAGCATAACGGTACTCTGAATTTAACAAGGCCTATAGATGCTACTGATATGTAGATGATTAATAATAATATTAAGTTATAATTACTTTAGGAGGAGCAGCCTGGAAGGAAGGGCCTAAATAGTTACATTTATTTAAAATACACATGTGTATCTATATCTATCTCCACACACACACACATATATATAAAATACTATATAAATGTAATTGAAATCTGAGCTTTGATACGCTAAACTAAGAGATTTGGAACAAAAAGGAACTTAAATAATCTTTATGCATAAATAACACAATGGTGTCAAATGCTTTAGAAAAACTGAGAGGCGAGGTGGGTGAAGTAATATCTTTTATTGAACCAACTTCTGTTGGTGAGAGAGAGAAGCTTGCAAGCTTGCACAGAAGAAGAGCTTCAATAAAAGATTTTACTTCACCCACCTTGTCCCACTAGTATCCTGGGACCGACATGGCTACAATAACATAGCATACATTAAAAAAACTGTACATTTTATTTTGGATGAGAGACAAAAAAAGATAATGGCAAACTGGGGAAAAAAGATACCAATCATCAAACTGTGCCCATTGCCCTAATTAACTAAGATCAAAGTATTCCACTGGAAATAAGTGATTATTCTAAACAGTAAGGAGGTATTAGTAGATGTTAAAGATCTATTGTAGACTATTTTTGTAATTTTATTACAATGAAGAGTATTATTAAAAAATTTTATTCAATAGAAATTTTTGACAGTTCCGAACGTAAATAAATGCTTACACACACACACACACACACACACACACACACACACACACACACACACACACACACACACACACACACAGTGTAGGTGCTGG